ATGCTTACAAAGGCGACATTCATAGAAAGTGTTACCGATATTTTTTTTAAATGTAAAAAGCATTTAAAGAAAAGCATTTTTTCAGACACCAGCTCATACATTACATTTAGAGGCAAGCACAAAGCTGTGTAAATTTAATTTTAATCATTTTGAATTGTTACTACCCATGCACTGGTCAGTAGCACAGATCTTACTCCAGGTCACACAGAGTGGGCCAAAAGAGGTCAACTGGGGTGCGTGTTTGGGATACATCAAGTTTTGTCTATCTTTCATGCTACACTTAATGACAAAAATGTACACAAAGACATTTAAGGACTTAAGTGGCCTGAGTTTCTGGTGGAGGGGGGGCGGTTGTAAAAAGGGTAAAACAGACGACAGACAACAGAACTTTATGCCAAACAACAGAACTTAACATCAGTTAATGTTCAAATTCATACAGTCAATGTCAAAAGAAAAAGCTGACCATTTGAAATAGGGTCAGCTGTCCTTGTGTGAATGGAACAGTATATTTTGAAATTAAAGCCTTTTTAAATTAACAATAACAGTTATTAGGAACCATTTCCCCCTCTCCTATATAGTTCTAAAGGTTTTCCTATTAAAGTGGTCTTATGGAAATTTATTATAAATCCAATAAACATGTTTATCCTCATATTTTGAAGTTGTTTGTACCTGCATGTGTGAGTAAGTGCTGCTCGTTGCGGTAGGGCAAAGTCCAAAAAGTAGCAGGGGTTGTGATTGAGTGTGTTTATGTGGTCCATCACTGCCACACTAGAGCAGGCCCACCTATAGTCTGGGAGTCATTATGTGGAGGTCATGGGATATCCTCCATGTAAACGCAAACTCACTTCAGCTCAAATTGGGTGTAAAGATCCCATTTCCTCTCCTCTGCCACCCCAGCCACCTGTAGAGGGACGGGGCTTGACAGCAGCATGGTCCCCCAGTGTCCATTACGATCACATTACAACCCAGTCTGGGGAACGGATACATTTAGGAGTTAAGCGTTTTTTCATAACTTAAGTAGAGGGCGATTTTCAAGCTATACTACAAATTCTTTATGCAACAATGGAAAAAGCAAAAATATCCAACATTGCTGCACATTTCTTGCTCAGGGCTTTTGGGATACTCATGCCCTATATTCCACATAATAAATGTTCCTAAATTGTTCTTGGCTTGCTTATGTGGTTCTAGGGAACACCTTGAAATGTACACTATCATTCAAGTTTGGAATCAGTCAGATTAATAATTGTTCAAAAGTAACACATGCAAAGTAGATTGAAATGCTATAATTGTAATATTCTAGTTATGCTGTAACTAGAAAGAGAAACTTAATTAATGAATTTTAAGTTGGTGGACAAAACCAACTAACAATGTTTCAAAAGTGAAAGCAGTTTTAGAACAGTGTTTCTTGGAATTAGTGGGTTTAGCACTGTTTAAATCATAATGCATAGTTGCTATGATGTTGCTATGAGGTTGTGATGGTATACTTGCTTGTTGTCAGTGTATTGCTTATTAGGGGGCTGCTAATGTGTAGTTAGGCCATTACTATGGCATCCTAGGTAGTTGCTAAGGTGCTGCTAGGTCATTTCAATGCTATCCCATGTGGTTGCTAATGTGTAACTAGACCATTGCTATGATATCCCAGGTGGTTGCTAATGTGTTGCAAGGCCATTGCTATGGTATCCTAGGTGGTGGCTTAGGTGTTGCTGTGTAATTTCTATGCCATCCCATGTGGTTGCTAAGGTGTAACTAGGCCATTGCTATGATATCCCAGGTGGTTGCTAAGGTGTTGCAAGGCCATTGCTATGGTATCCTAGGTGGTGGCTTAGGTGTTGCTGTGTAATTTCTATGCCATCCCATGTGGTTGCTAAGGTGTAACTAGGCCATTGCTATGATATCCCAGGTGGTTGCTAAGGTGTTGCTAGGCCATTGCTATGGTATCCTAGGTGGTGGCTTAGGTGTTGCTGTGTAATTTCTAGCATACTTGTATGATGGTGACATAAGAGGAGTGTCCAGTGTTTACTGAGTGTTTACTGACTGTGGTGGAAAAAGTGGTAGGTATAAGCATAACATGATATCTAAGGGATTGACTCACTTTCAGGATGTTGAGCATTCCTCTGTTCATTCCTAATAAATAAATAAATAAATAATCACTTTTATAGGAATAAAGAGGGATCCTGCAAAGTTGTGTGGTTCTAGTTTGAAAGCTGTAGAAGACGTAGTGTGGAAAACCTTTGACTACCAAATAATAAAGTAGTGTATAGCACCATTAGGTTCAGGTTCTTTAAACTTCATCTCATTTACAAGGAAAAAAAAAATTGAAAGTTCTTTAGGGAACCAAATGTGTTCAAAGACATTGATAGCATAGCATTTAGGTAAGTTAATAATCATAAGTATTGTTATTTAAAGTGAATGTCTGGTAAAACAGTAATAACTCAAACAATACACTTCTAAGTGTTAAAAAATCATTTTTTTAATGATAGAGCATGTATATGAGTATAAATGTCTACATTTAATAGCAGCTATTTTAGATTTTGGGTTGAAAAATATCTGATTTATAACTCCAAGACAACTAACAACCTCAAAACATTCTCGCATTGTCAGCAAACACTTGGACACTAAATCAGATGAACTGGGCTTTGGCCATGACCATCATGTCCAGCGCAGCCCCCAAACAGCTCTCCATCAGTCTGTATGTCAACATGATTGAGCCTCATGCGCCTTGCCATATTTTACCAGGACAGAAAGCACTGATGATCACAGAGCTGGGTTGCTTAGAGTAATTCTCAGTGAGAAGGGATGAGCAATTAATTCTTCATTAATTGTTCATTAATTTAATTTCCTTAATCAGGTTAGGCCACAAAATAACACATGCCATTTAATAACCTGCCTGCAGCATGACAATCAAGTATTTTTCAAGCTATAAACAAGACTATTAAAGATAAGTGTGACAATGACTTTTTGTTGAGTGCAATGACCTCAAAAATTTTCTATAAGCATTGCTTTATTGTTGACTTTAATGAAGAAAATTCACAAACTTGATCTTGTATATTAAAAGCAAGTGATTTTTAGTGTTCACCGCTACTACACAAATTGACCAAAGGCACATTTTCAGAGAGAAAGGATTATTTAAGGATTGGTAATTATGAAGCAGCTCAGAGTAACAGTACCAAGGCATCTTGTTCTTGTAATCAAGTAAAATTACCCATGAAAGCAGAGATGGCCCAAATGTGATTGGATATGCTGTATGCGGAATGCTGGATTGGGTATCGGAGGAAAAATACAATTAAACCAATTTGATTCTATAACCAACCTAGTCTGAAACAGCACTGATGGCTGGGCAACACTACATAAAGCAAAGTAGGTCACAGTAGCTACATGTAAACAAACATAAGCACAACCACATAACAATGTTTATATTGCAAAAAATATCATGGCAAGTGAAAACATCTTAAATCTAGTCAATATATCTCCTCATTTTGAGGCTGTTTTAAGAATATTATAAGATCATTTAACCTACGTCTAGGTGTCTTTTACTTATTTTAAGTCATGTTATCTAGTGAAATTGTCTAATTCTATTGACAGATAATTTAGCTTATTTCAAGATCATTATGCTGGTTTGCAAGGTTTTTGTATATTTTCTGCATCCCAACACACCCAGATGTACCTTTAGGTGAAAAGATTTTAGGTATTATATGGAATGCAAGGAATGCAACTTATGAGCTCTTATAATTTGTTATGATCAGTACTTATAATGTATTATGTTAACAATTCATAATGCATAATAAACATGGCTATAACATATAATGCATTTCTATAAATATTTATAGCCATGTTTATAATGTCTTATGAATGCATTATAACATGTTATGAATGTGTTTATAGATGCTTACAAAGGTGACATTCATAGAAAGTGTTACCGTTTATTTTCATCTAACAAGAAACTGTAATGCTAGGTTAGCTGGCTACAGGTGCCAGACTTTTAGCAGTTAGCGACCAAAGCTAAATGGTTTGCAACTCAGAGAGCTGCTTTATTTTAGCCAGTAAATAACAACAGGGAATCAGTGAATAACAGCAGCCTTGTTTAGGAATACAGGTAACATCACCAATGGCTTTGAGCTAGCTTTGCTAATATCTCCATGTCAGATTCTCATTGTGTAAGACTGTAGAAATGTCGAATGACTTTCCTACGCCACACTTTTTGCACATGATTATCTCACTTCACTTAAAGCCTGTAATAAAGCTCTATAAAGTGTGATTGTAATAATAGTTTTAGTGCCTACTATGTTCTTATTAACAGCCATTATTATGTATTATGGTACTTGACTTTATGTGTTTGCATACTCTTGCTTTATAAAGTGTTGTGCATGTAATTATGACTATTTAAGAGCAATTATACAAGCTTATGCCCAGTATTATAAGGCACTGTGTATGCCATATAACCTTTATAAATGCTTTTATAAAGCATTAAATGAATAAATGAATGAATGCTCAATTTTGGCCACTACTAAAACAATCACATCACTACTGAAACTTTACCAAACATTTTGGTGACTAACAATTTTAACTCATTTTGAGGAGAACTCAAAAATGCTAGCCAGTACATGACTAACAAATACAGCTTTGAATAGTTGTGCAAACAAAAAATCGTAATAATAAAAAAGTTTACTTAACTGCAGAAAAATAATGGAAGTGGAATGAGCTTAATGTAGCCAATACTTTATCCATTACAAAACGCCAGGACTGGCTTCACAGGATTGGGAAGAATTGCATTGTTTTTCAAAGAAAATAATACTGTTTTGATATTAGTATCTGTCAATACTCAAGGCTTCAGTAAAAGTACTGGAACAGAGAAAGTGGCATTGTGCCATCTCTATTTGAAAAGCAAAGACACTCAAAATAGATTTCCACAGATCTCATACTAAAAACACAAGCAGTCACACAAATACTAAATAAAAGAAACAAAAAACAGTGGTAGCATCCATCCATCCCAGATCACTTACACTTTGGCTATCCCTCTGTCCCTCCAGTCTGGGTATCCATAGACATTTTCACTGGTGGTGAAATGTTCCTCCAATCAACGACAAAGCAGCACCTGTGCTTGCAGTGTTGTTGGAGAGTCACCCTCGGCTATCTCCGGTAGATTAGATAACATCCTTATCGTCTCTGCAACATATCAGGCTGTCCAAAACTCTGGGAACACGCTGAACGTTCACCACTAATCTGAACCCCCCACAGAGACCAGAGCAAGGCGAAAGAATGCGGCCTTCTGGCTTTTCAAAGTGACGTTGTTATTGCGGAAACCAAAAAGATTTAAAACTACATATTTTTTAACTTTGACCCATGTGAAAAAGTCATATCTGCAGTGTTCCGCTATTCACCGCTGTGTATACAATGATTGTATACTCACTATTTCTATGTCTTTACCAAGTGGGTGCTTTAATGTAGACTAATGGTTGAAGTATATGGCTAAGGGAATGGTCCAGTCAATAATGCAAATCATGCTAACTGACTACAAGCCTTCATTTAATGTCAGCAATATTAGCATGTATGATTAGGTTACTGCAGTTACTATAAGTTATGGGTGTAAAACTGTATATGCAGCAATATAAGGGGTCTACAAATGACACTGGGGGCCTGTGATGACCCCTCTGTGATCCCAACTGCAGTAGTTCTGCCACTAGCACTATTTCAAAACTATTTATGTTATGGTTTTACCTACTGTGGGTGTGTTTCAAAGGGCTCTCTAGTTCAGTAGTTAGGGTACTACTCATGGAATTTCTATGGTGTTCTGATGTTCTGTATACTGCAACTTTCCTTTGCTTTAAAATCGCACATGTACAGCAAAGCATTGACTGTTTATTATGCTCCCTGAATGCAAATACTTGCCATTGAACTTTGAAATAAATTCATTTTTCATTTTTAATGAAAAAAAGACCAAAAATAAAGGCTTTTTTTCTAGCAAGCCATTTAGATTTTATTTGCACTGTTTGCTATTGACTGAAATGTTCAGAGCAAACAGTTAGTTACATGGCTAACCAGCCGCATTTACATCTCTGATTTAACTTTAAAGCTTATGCTTTTATACTTAAAAGCTATAGCTACCTAACAGAATAATCTGTAATATTTCATAGTGTTACACTTAATTCATCAACATCATGAACTAAACATGACCTTTGAGTAGTCTGACCTTCTAATAGGCCAATAACTTCCTTCAAAAATAGTCAGTAACATTAAACCTTTATCAAAATAGGCTAAAGTAAAAATGTTATCTGAATGTCTAGTCAGTCATCAACTCACTGTGTTTTTGCTACAGCTGACATGAAATGCTTACACTGCTTGGCACTAACATGTCACTGAAACCTTACTGCAGTACTAATGCAAATTATCTAAACATTGCTAAGTATGAAAAGTGTAACTGACACACGGCTGTGTCTAGTTGTCAACGTAACCAAAAACAAGAAGTTATCCCATCCCAAAGATGTCGATATGGCTGAGCACAGCATAACAATGAGCTGGTCTGTTGATGTTGCTGATACCAGAGATGGTATTACAGTGTCATGTTCTGTCTCCACATGTGTGATGTACCATGCATTGTATGTGGTTGACTACTAAGTTTTGCTAATCAAGTCGTAGTCGTCATTACTATATTTAAAAAATGTGTGTGAAAAGTACTTTGTTAGTTGCTTGCTAATAGGGACTCGGATGGGGTATGGTTTGAGGTGTGCATTGCAGAAAAAGAATGTGTTGTATTTAAATGAGTTTCAGCCTCAGACACTCTGTCCACAGAAGTACACAGACTTTCTGATGTAAACTGCAGGCTAAAATCACCACAGCTGCCAGAATCTCAACTCCTGTGGAAAATTTATGCTGGCTCTGGCTATCCACATTTTCCAAGCACTGGTTTTATCAGCATGTAAGGGGAAATAAAATGATTGTTTATCAAGCTAAATGCTATTAGCATTCAGCTGCATCTCTACACAACAATAAGGCCAAGTCACTGAGAAAACATTCACATTTCAAGAAGTTACCCTGTTTTTTATTTGGAACCATAGGTAGCAAATAAACAAGATGTCAGTGTGCATCTGTTGACCAGAACTCCACTCAAGTATTTTTGTTGCACGTACATTGCATTAAATAGTCTGTGATTGGCCAATTTGCATGTCAGTCAAAAGGCCCTTCTCTATCAGAGATGCTGGTTCTTGAAACCTACCTAGTCTCGCCTGTATTTAAGCAGTTTTACACAGTTTGCAGTAGAATTGTTTTCTTCTCGTGTGGTATTTCAACACAGAGACTGATTTCTGTTTTCACCTTCCTGTTCATTGCCACCATATTTCAGGAACTGTCCTCGTCTATAGTCTACACAGCAGCTACAGTACCTACTTCACTACATAAATAACTAGGAAGTCAATAGAGACAGTTTGGAAGATGAATTCCAAAGTTAAAAAAACAACTGCATTGATGAAAATTCTCAGAAGAAAAGAAATAGAAATGAATAAGAAGAAGGAAGGAGTGAAATGGAAGGACTGAAAGCTAATTATGGTCCATTCTGGTGCTTATCAAAAAACCAGCAAAGCTCATTTTACAGGCCTGCCAAACAGGTGCATGCAGGTGTGTTCCAGTCAGGTGTATGGAGCTGCAACTCCTCCAAAATCTCCAATACAAGTTAAGTCTTAGCAGCTAAATTGCAAAAAACAACTTAATAATAATCGCACCAACAAATTAAAACACAATGACACACACGCACACACAAACGCACACCAGATGAGCGTCTCTTTGCGTGATTGATCAGTCTCTGCATTGTGAGCGTGGCCACAACCACCTCCAGCAGTTCTGGAATGTCCGATAAAATGATATTAATTCCACGCATTAATGAGATTAATGAATTTGAACGGCTGGAAGAGGAGAGGAGTGCGTTTTCGTTTTTGTCTGGACCTGAAATAATAACACAAAAGCAATTACCGTGCATCCATCAATCCACGGCAGACATCTAATTATCTCTCCATTTCTGAAGTCCTCGCACTTCTTCAGTGCTCATTTGTAACCCGTGATATGTTATTTTTCCATTAATGGAGCAGCCTCAATACAGCAATGTGTAACTATACAGTGGGACTCAGATGTTCCAGAAGCATGATTGAGCGTTTCGGAGCACCACGCTGAGAGATCCAGAATTCTGATGATTAATGGTGATGTCACGGGGTGAAGAATGGCAGTCCCTGCAGCTATGGATAACTCCTTGTTATCCTGCTAAAGGAAATAGAGCCATATCTACCAAGCTGGCTCAAACACGTGCCTCCAAAAGCTAGGACAAGGTCTAATTTGGACGCCGCACTTAACAAAAAGGAAATCATTTCAGTTTTGACTTTTCAGACTAGAGATGTGGACTTTCAAGTTCTCCATAAACCTTGTTTCTTGCATTAACATGACATTGTGACTACAGATACTTGTGATGGGCTTTCCAGCTCTTTTCAGAGAGTCAGATCAATTGGTTCATCTCCAGGCTCCCAAATGGCTCCTAACTTAGTAGCATTGTCAGGGTTTTTTTGTGGCCAAAATTAGCCAAGTCAGGAATATTATCTATCATTTAATTTTTAAAAACCTTAGTCTAAAAAATTAACTAATTGGCAAAAAATGCATTATGTCTGTTATTTTAAAAGAATGAAGAATTCAGATGTTGATAAGTAGTTTCATTGGATGAATTTGGAAGGGCAGGAATCACAGGATGAGCAGATGGCAGAAACATCCATCAAGCAGTCACTAACAAACAAAAGCAAGGACTGAATGAAAACAGTCAAGAACAAAAACTAAAACCAAACTAACACAACAGGCAGCAAGTTTGTTTTATAATGGTGGTGGTGGGGGGGCGGGGTGTTTCAAGGACATCCAGGAGGAGGGTCCTGTGATTTTCAGTGAGCCAGTACCCAACATTCACCCAAAATAACCAGTTCAAAGGCCCAACTCGTTCATGAATGATACATCACTAACAGATACTAAAATAAGCCAAACTAAAAATTATGACTGCGAAAAATTAGCTAAAACATTGTGAGAGTGGTCTATTGTCTATAAAGCTCACTCACTTTGTTGTGTGACCACTCTCTCTCACCCACAACCAACCTGGCTCACATATATAACTCCATACATTCTTAAAAAAAGTGTTCTGTATAGTATTACAAAATGGTTCTTTGACTCATAACAACAGTGGAACCCTTTTAAGTGCTTTATAGAACAATTTTTCAAACGGTTCTCAAAAGAACCATATACAAGAAGGTCTCCAGGATAGAGAACAGCAATTTCACCAGACAAAGAATAATCAAAGCATTCAAATGGTCCTCTGAGTTGTCATGGTTCTTTGTATAAACACTGCATTTTGTAAAGAACCCTCAAAGCACCATTTTTTAAAAAGTGTGGACAATATTGTACCTTCAAATTAGCTAACATTAACATGATATTGTGTATATAAAGCAATATGTCACACTGCTACAAGATATAATGGGTGTGGTCTTCTATCTAGAAATTCTTCCCTCTTTTTTGAGTGGTCCCTCCTCCTCATTGCCCTCTGACCACTGCAGCTGCACAAATATCTGGGCACTGCAACCTCACTTTTCTCAAATAAACTGAGCTGTCATCACATGTACAGCCCAGTCCATTTCATAATAAAAAATGATTAAGAGGGCAAGCTTTTGTTTTGACTCCCACTGACTTCATTAATTGCATTCATTCTTTTTGACTGACAAAAGTAAATTCCTTCTTCCTTATTGGTCACTTGCAGGAAAATGAGTGACTTACATTCAAAAAACCCTGCCAGTCACCAAAAATGGAAGTGATTCTAGTTCGATGGCGCTACATATACAAACAAAACCAAGGCTTGGAAATTGAGGCTTTTAAGTACCTGACTCCCATTGACTTCCATTTAGGCTAATCATAACTCAAATCAGGACAGGCTTCTGTGCTCTCCCATACTAGCAGAGGTCATGTGTTCTTTGTGTAATGTCCACCAGCTGTCAAAACGCACACACATACACACACACATACACACACACACACACACACACACACACACACACACACACACACTTACAACAGCATTAACGTCCATCTAAACTAAGATGCAAGCTATATAGAAT